GTTTAAAGCGCATCTGTTACATTTGCTACCTGTGCCTGTGAAAGCCGGCAAGTATATGCTAATCGTATGGACGATGAAAAATGAAAAAGTAAAAAGTAATAACGCAACGTTGCTCCAGTTCACGCTGTGAAAGTCCCTTGGAGATGTCAGCCGCCTCAGCGAGCACCCGCTCTTCGTGAAGCATAACCAACACAAGGGACTCGCGCATCAATCAATTTGCTCAGAAAAAAAGTATATATAAAAAAGGAGGCAACGAGGAATGGCATCATCCGATTGGAGGAGCGCAGGATCTATAGACTCCAGTCACCACCACCGCCTCACAAAGCAGCTTGCCTCCTGAAAAAGGATGTCCGAGCCCCCTTTTCCCGCTTTCCCTTTATCGACAGCACTGACGAGCCAGAAGTATACGAAGCGAAAGGAACAACGCTGCCCTAACAAGAGAAATACAAATATTTGGACAAGAAGAGCACGATTGAGCAGTCCACCCTCTCTCCCCCCCTTTCCCACTCTCTCCTCTCCCACAAGGCTCTTTCCAACTATGCCACGTTCCTCGACATCTGTCATGGGCGTCACATTGAAAGCTTCCGAAGTACGGGAGATAGGCGGCCGGATATAGGAAAAGGCCGACCGAGCCGTCGTTGGCAGCGGAGGAGGCAGAATACGGCGCTCGACGCGGTCTGGTCGTTGACCACCACAGCGTGATGCCCTCCTGGAGGCTGGCTATCTGACAAGACAACAAGCTGCGAAACAAACACAAAGGCCGCCGAGATTATGAGCCCGGTCGAGCACGGTGCGGCGACGCATGCTTGCGTGGTGGCCCTTTGTCCCTCAAAGGTTTTGTTATCGGTGCTTTGAAGGGGGGCCCGGGTTCGGCTTTGGCGGCTGGGACATCATCGCCGTCCGCTTTATTTCTTGGTTGCCCCGACTTGTTTAATGCGGCTGAGTGATGGGGCACTAAACAAAACTCACGAGCCTGGTGCGCCTTTTTGATTCAGAATCCTTTTTTTTTTTTTTACTATTATGTTTGTGCTTCGGGACGAAAAAAAAATAGCGTTCGAATCAAAAGGCTTGTCAGTGACCGGATCAACTATCGCTAGACATTAGCCGAAAATATTACGAAAAAGTTGAACCCTACTCTTAATGGAATCTACTGAAAAAAAAAAGAAAAGAAAAGAAAAAAAAAACAATATTTTTTTCTCTTAATAAATCGCACTAGAATTTAGATCACATTCATTGCAAGGCTTTTGAGGAGTCTCTGGCGGTGTATTTTACAATATGTTTCAAGGAGTTTCTCAAGAGTGGATTATAATATGATCAAACCATGATTTCGACGACGCATGTTTGAATCTGTTTTAGTTCTTACATCAGCATCCGCGTGTCCTACGGACGATATCAGCGTCGTGTGTTCGTAGTTTTGGGTCAGCAGTGTAAACTGCAGTGGCGTGTTATGCGGCAGAATAATTTTTTTCAAGTTTGTACTTTATGCGAATTAAAATGGGCAGCCCAGCGCCGCAATCTGCTGTTCAATATATCATTATTTTACAACGCTCTTCTTGCTTCTGCCAAACCAGTTGGTATCAGAATTAAAATACCTGAGTGTAGCCTTATCTGGGGAACTGTAGGCGTCTTACACATACGCCCAAGAACTGTAGATGTTTGGTTAATGCACTCAGAAAAGTGCAAATGTGTATTAAGGGTCCATAGAAAAATAATCAAAAATTTCATATTGAGCCCTGCGCTATAGTGGAGATACTATATCTACGAAGCTAGAAGTAATCCAGCTTGACAGCGTTTATTTTATTATGGAAGTATTTACAAGGCGTGCACTCTCCGTAGCGCCTGCATGCTAACAGACTCGCAGTGCACTCAGAACACCTGTAAGAAATATTACCACACGTTGTCCACTCAATGATAAGTGACTGATCAACATTATTGACTAGTGACGCGTTTTAAGTGAAAAAGAGTGCGACTCTTTTTTGTCTCTCTAAGAACATGACAATTGAAGCGTAATACCGACCGCAGTCTGGATCAGTTGAATAAAGATATGCTAATTATTGGTGTATTGTCTACATCACAGTTTAGCGCGCACCCAAAGACGTTTGTAAGCGTAGCCCCCTACCGAGAGAGTACAGGGAATTACGCACTTCGTTGCTTTGGACAATACACAAAGTTTACATCGCAGCCAGCGGGGAGAAAATAATATAGTGGGGAGCTTTCGTAAATGATTCCGATAAATGTGAAAACGATACCTGATACCTATGCGACACATGAGCAAACCCTTACAAATTATATTGCAGGCAGTCTATAGAAATCCTATCCACATCTTAACGACTCTTCCAACTGTCTATCCACTCACGTAGTATCGATATTTTTCAATAGACTTTCTAAAGACTTTTTTTCAACCGAAATCCACCGAGTTCAGACGATATAAATGCTATAGAATTTGTATCACCACATGTAAATAGCGCTTTTGTCACCATATATTTCTATAATATTTCTTCACAGTAATATCGATGGTACAACCGAATACAGAGCTGAGAGGCGAAATCACACTCACTTTGAGCCTTCTTGGAGATTTCAAATCACTTCCGAATGTTTGAGCAAAGTGAAGGCGCGTGCTCTACAACTTTACAAGCAGTTCGGTTAAAAAAAAATTAAGTAAGTCCGTTAGGGCAGCTAGTGGTCTTAGTCTCCAAGGTTTTTTCTCGGTAAAGACCCACAAGACAAATATGGCCTTCGGGGTAATTGTTACGCAGGAAGGGTCCTGGCAAATACACGTCTCATAGCATGTCCAACATCACCTCTCGTCTTTGAATTAGAATGATCCTTTTTTTAATTCGAAATTCGGAGGCATTGATGAAATACATCAGCAATGAGAACCCTTGCAGTTGTAACATGGTTTTGATTAATGTGGACGATCTTTTCTATTCTTTTCCACATGATGGCCTCATTCAAGCTGTCCAACGATGTATTGACTTAAACGGCTCGGTGGCCTTCCATAACTCGAAGGGCATTCCAGTGGAGAAGTTTTTAGATCTTCCCTGCATTTATTTGAATTCAACTTTTACTGCCTTTGAGGGCAGTACGTTCCTTCAAAAATCCGTAATATGTATTGCATATAACGTTGCTCCCGTGTTAAAGGGATACTGAACCGAAATTTGGATTTTGCAAAGTAAGGCTGCAGAAGTGTTGAACGAGACGCTACGAACTCTAAAACATCACTCGTACATCGATATCTCAAACAGATGGCCGTACTTTTGGAAAAGAAGGGCGCGATCAAGCGAGTTCTTTGACGTAACTGTCCTCCGGGAGAATTTGAGAATGAGGAGAAGCGGCCTCGCTTCTCTCCTCCTCGCTTTGGTACGCCAGCTTGACGGGACGTAGCGAGGAGGAGAGAGAATGGGAATCGTGACGTGCCTTGTCTCGTCGGCCTCGTCGGCCGGGTTCAATCGCGCACTTTTTTTCCCAAAAATACGGCGATCCGTTGGATATATCGCCGAATGAGTGATATTTTTTGGTTTTGCAGCTTCCCGCCTAACCTCCAGACCTTGTTCAGTGAGCTCGAAATTTCGGTTCAGTATCCCTTTAAGTAATAAATACCTCGCTGTATTCCATGTAAACCAAAAAAAGGTAAAAAAAGAAGCAGAGTGGCGCAGTGAAAGCATGTTGGGCCCATAACCCAGAGGCCTGTGGATCGAAACCACGCTCTGCTCCCTTCAACATTTTTTTTTTCTTTTGGGGGGGGGGGGGGGGGGGGGGGGGGTTGAAATTTAAAACCCAAGAGCTGTTTTGTCGTAAGTATGAAGGATATATTTGTTATAATTAGTAAGATGCGAGCAGCTTTCCAGTAGTATACATAATCAGTCTGCCTCTCCACAGCATCCTCCGCTTTTCGTCCGAACCACAGTGTTACCTTTGCAAACTCCCGGACACAATTGAACAAGTGTTTTTGCATTGTTGGGAGGTTTTTTTTTGTTTTTTTTTTTTGGGGGGGGGGGGGGGGGATGTGTTTCAGAGAACTCTACACAAAGATTTTCCTTTAGACCCACATGGCATTCCTTTTTTGGCCATCGATAATGAGGACGGGGTGCCTTTTGATTTGTTAATGCTCCTGGGCCTTCATAGTCTATGGCTCTCCCGCACGGCGAGGCTCCATAGCGACGTCGATGCTCAACCGGCCAGGATGTATTATCGACAAAATGTTGGGGCGTAGATTGCAAACTGTAGGACACAAGAGACAGTACCTGATTGGTTACCTAGAATTGTAACGCTCGAAACGTTAAAAGAATTTTGAGGTGTCAACGTCAGACACTGAAAGGAAGACGATTCCATATTTCTTACTCATTTGTATATACCTGTCATGTAACCATGTCATGTAACCACGTGTGTGTAATGTAAATATGTGTGTTTGTGTGTATTTTGTTTGAATAAATCAGGTTACAAAGAAGAAAAAAAAAAGAGTGGCGCAGTGGATTCCACTTCCGGACGCGATAGCGAGCGGACGTGATATGAATCGCTCTCCGTCATCGGGGGCGGCCGAGCCCGACCACGGTGATAATGGTGTTACCCTATTGCCGAAGGACTATAGGCTTCAACTGCCTCCGCTGCCGACCGGGGAGACGGCGAAACTCAGCGTTGTGCTTCACGCTGACCTTGAAGGACGCCCCTACCGGATTGAGGACTTTAGGCAGCCGTTACACCAGGTAGGCATTCTGTCGGACGTGGCAGGCCTGGGAGCCTACCAGATGAGTCACGTCTGGCTGCTCAAGTTGCGCACGCCGGAGGCGAAGGCGAAACTGCTGGAGGCCGGAAGTCTGCAGGTAAAGGGTAAGCTGTGCCACGTCGTCGACCCCAGCCGGAGGGAGCTGCGTATAATGCTCCACTGGGTGACCTTTGACGTCCCGGTGGACTCGGTGCGACGGGCCTTCGAGCCGTACGGGTCTGTCAAGGATATCACTCGAGAGACCTGGAAGGTTGAAGGTTTCGTGGACGTCGAGTCTACAACGCTGGCCGTGCGGGTGACGTTGAATGAAGGCATACCGTTGGAGAGCCTCCCACACCAGCTTCGGATTGGCGGAGGCACGGTCCTGGTTGTCGTCCCCGGACGCGCACCGATATGCCTGCGCTGCCGGCGCACTGGCCATATACGTCGAGACTGCAGAGCACCTCGGTGCTCGCAGTGCCGAGCCTTCGGGCATGAAACCAGGGACTGCGTCAAGACGTACGCCCGTGTCACCGGCAGCAACACCGACACGGTAGCATCCGAGCTGGTGATGGACGAGGACGAGGCTGAGATGGCAGCCGCACCGTCGACTTCACTGGCCCAGCAACCACGCAACGAGGCGGCAGCGGCCAGCTCAATACCAGGACCTGTGGCACCGGAGCTTCCGCACGGGGCACCGAGAGAAAAGGTGGACACCGAGGCGAGCCAAGACGTTGTGCCCGAGCAAGCCACGGAGACTTCTAGCACCCCGGCGGGACCCGCGCAACGAGAAGACACCGTAGTTTCTAAGGACGACGATCAGAACAACGATATGGGCGTAGTGACGGGGAGCGCGAAACGGGCGCTGGAGGACCCACCTTCAGGCCGGGGGGAGGCTCAGCTGAGGCGCCTAGAACGCGAATGGTGTGGCAAGGTAGGACGTTTCAAGACCCAGTCTGTGCCTTTAACGCGTAACAAGGAACAGAAGCAGTAAGTCTTTTCGGCACGCCACTGACTGACCTTGTAAGTTCTATGTTCTCCACCGGGCTTCCACCTAAAGCTTATGCTTGAAAGACCCCTACGTGTGGGCACTATAAATGTGCGGGGCCTATGTTCCAGACGCAGGCAATGTCAGCTGAGCCGCCTGTTTGCCGATAAAAACCTTGACATTGTCGCAGTACAAGAATCAAAGATAGAAAGTGAAGACCGGACGGAAAGCATGGTACGGATTTTCGGGTCTCAGTACAATGTGTGCGTTAGCCACGCAGTTGGGATGTCCGGAGGATGTTTGGTGTTCCTTAAAAAGTGTATTGGAAAGGTTGAACAAGTTATCAGTTGTGAGTCGGGTAGGATGTTACTTTGTGATTTTTCTTATTGTAGTTTCACCTTTCGCGTGGTGTGTATTTATGCTCCTAACTGGGTTGAGGAAAGACGGGTTTTTTTTTGAAAATATTACGAAGTATATTCAAACAGATCGCCTAGTCATTTTGTTGGGGGATTTTAACTGCGTTTGCGCCCCAGAGGATAGATCGAATGGAGCACGATATAGAGACGTCAGTTCTGAATACTTGTGCGATATGATACAGCGGTGTGAACTGGAAGACGTTGCTCACTTTTCATCAAGTGCAAGGAGCCTACAGTTTACACACTTCCAAGGAGCGAGCCACACGCGTTTAGACAGGGCCTACGTTTCCCCCGAACTTATCGCGATAAGCAAAAATTACGCAGTGGATCACGTGTCTTTTAGCGATCACTGCCTCGTTTCTTTTATGTTGTCCTCTTCCCCGGACGCTAACAAGAAATTCAGTTGGGAATTGTGGAAATTTAATACTAAGTTATTAGGGGACGATATCTTCGTAGGTAATGTTCGGGAAAATCTCTGCTCTTTGACTCGTGCAGAGGATGGTATCGGCGCAAAATGGGAATGTTTTAAACAAGAGATAAAAATGAGTGCCATCGAAAGATCTAGTTCTTTAAAACACGAGGAAACGAAATACATAAGACAGCTAAGCTGCCTGCTACAAGAGTTAACGCGCCAAGAATGTCGTTCACCAGGTCTTTTTTCAGAAGACATAGTCAAGTTGAAAAAGAACTCGAGGCTCTTGATACCGAACGCTATAAGGGAGCCATGGTGCGATCGCGTTTGAAACGGTTATCGCTTGGCGAGATACCAACGAAACGAGCTTTGGGAATGGAAAAGAAGTACGCGCGAGGAAATGAAATAAGCGAAATCTTGTATCAAGGAGATCTGTCTAGTGATAGAACAACCGTGGAACGCGCGTTTGTCGAATATTATCAGGAGCTTTTCAGTTATCGCAAGCCGAAGTTGACGGAGTTTGAAAGGCTTTATCTGCCGTTAATGACGAGGCTAGACGAAGACCTTAAAGAAAGACTAGAACAGTCAATAGTTTTGGGCGAAGTTGAAAAAGCGGTAGACCATTTGCAGCCCGGAAAATCGCCTGGACCGGATGGTCTGGGAGCGGAATTTTATAAATCCTTCAAAGACCAAATTGCACCTTTATTGCTTAGCGTGTTTAGTGAAGCGTACCGTCTTAAAGCTTTGCCTCCGTCCTTTCTATGTACCCATACGATTTTAATTCCCAAGTGTGAAGATCACGTGAAACTCCGCCAAGTAGGGTCCTATCGTCCTATAACACTGACCAACGTTGATTACAAAATTTTAATGAAGGTGTTGGCGGAACGGCTACAAAGCGTTATAAGTATTATAGTCGGTCCGCATCAAACATGTGGTATCAAGGGGAGAAGTATCGTCACGAATGTACATGTTGCGCGTTCCATCTTAGAATGTTGTGATGCGATGGACCGAAGGGTCGCAGTGGTACAGATAGACCTCGAAAAAGCTTTTGATCGGGTGTCCCACGATATTATTTTTTCTATTTTGAAGCATGTGAATTTAGGATCAGTTTTGTGTGATGGCGTGCGCATGGCATACCGTAACTGCGCCACCAGTTTAGTTATCAACAAGAGTGTTAGCGAACGGATTCGCCTTTTTTCATCAGTGCGGCAAGGTTGCCCACTTTCGCCGCTGCTTTTTTGTATCTTCTTGGAGCCTTTTTGTTTAAGTGTTATACGCGATAGTTATGTGAAAGGTTTTCGTTTGCAAGCTAGCGAAGTTCGTCTGCAGTCATACGCGGATGACGTAGCTATTTTTTGTACCGACAAGGAAAGTGTGAAAAGAGCCATTGATCTAACTAGGGTGTTTTGTGAACACACCTGTAGTTCAGTGAACTGGCACAAGTGTACCGGTTTTTGGCACGGCGACTGGCCGTCAACGTCAATGGTGTTTGAACGCATTGTCTGGTCTGCCACGCCCGTGCGTTATCTTGGCGTGCCTTTGGGACACTACCGAAACAATGACGAGTACTGGCGCGAAGAAACAGAAGCCATGCGCTCAAAGGCGACCAAGTGGGGGGGGAAACTGTTTGTCTATGTTTGCGCGGGCCACAGTATGCAATGTTTTTTTTATGGCTAAGCTGTGGTACGTGCTACAGGTGCTGCACTGTTCACGGAATAACATTCAACGTATGCACCGAGTGTTTGCGATTTTTATATGGAATTCGGTTTGGGAGCGAACTAGTCGAACGAACATTTTCCGCCGAGTCAAAACGGGGGGCCTTGGTCTTTCTCATTTATTCATCAGGCAGCTCGTGAACAGGTTTATTTTCCTTCGGGACCAAAGGGACCCATTTTTACGCACCGTGATTCAAGTGAGGTTACGAGACGTGATACCTGAGTTTATTGTGGCGTCAAGTGGCTACAGCGGCCTGATTCGAGGGTATTTAAAGGAAGTCATCGACGCATATAGGTTTTTAAGAGCACGGTTCTCGCTAGAATATTTGTCAGGAGTGCCCCGTAAACGGTTGTCGAGAGATCTGACCGACTCGCTGTTTCCCGTCCCCTTGTACCGATCCTTGTACAGTGCCGCACCAGGACAAGACGTTTTAAAAAGAGTCAAGAGAATGATTGTCCCCGCATGTGCAAAAACGTTTTTCTTTAAACTGCACAGTGAAACGCTCCCTGTCAAAACCTGGTTAGTGTCCAAGGGCATACCAGTAGCATGGTCTGAAAACTGCTTGCTGTGTAAAAAACCCGAGACCTTAGAACATGTATTCCTAGATTGCTGGGATGCGGTGTTTTTTTGGGACATCCTTCAAAGAACTTTAAAAAAAGATCTCCCGTTAACGCCGTATGGCATACGATACTTGTTTGTGGAAGGTGGAGACACTGTTCCCTATGACATGTTTATGCTCATTGCACTGTATAGTCTGTGGCAATGCCGCATGGCGGTACGGCACGCGGATGTTAATGTGCGTCCTGTTCATAGGTAATTCGTTAAAAGCATGTGTTACCTGAAAGAAATTTATAAGGTGGAGCAGCCACTTCCTGACTGGCTTCCACTGGTTGAAAAGCTTGCGACCCTTAAAGATCTCTGACGATTTGTACTCTGTGTTACTTTCCTCATCAGCCAAATTGGCTCATGCTTTAACCTTTTAGTGAAGAAGTAAACCTGTAAAACAAAAACAGGCAATAAAGAAAAAAAAAAAAAAAAGAGTGGCGCAGTGGAAGCGTGCTGGGCCCATAACTTAGAGGTCCGTGAATCGAAACCACGCTCTGCTACATTAAGTTTTTTTTTGTTTTTCTTGTTTCTTTTGTTTTTTGGCCTGGGGGGGGGGGGGGGGGGGGGGAGGGGGGTTAAAATGACAAACCAAGGGCGCTTTTGTCGTAGATATTTAGGATATATCTGTTCTAATTAATAAGATGCGAGGAGCTTTCCAGTAGTATATATAATCAGTGAGCCTCCCCACAACATCCGCTACTTATGCCCCAAAGTACAGCAGAGTGGCGCAGTGGACACGTGCTGGGCCCATAACCTAGAGGTACGTGGATCGAAACCACGCTCTGCTACGTTGAATGTTTTTTTTTGTTTCTTTTAACATTGAAAAACCAAGAGCGGTTTTGTTTTAAATATTTATGACATATCTGTTCGAAAGGTCTGTCCACACGATGCATCCTTTAGGCGCGCAACAGTTTCGCGACACTCAAGTTTCGCGAAATGTGCTCGTTCAAACGTACCACTTCACGTGCAACAACGATGACGTTTAGACTCGCGAAAATAGTTTGGGTGTTGACCATAAAGTGGCGCTTCAGTTGAAAGCCAACATCCTCATCATCACCATTGGCCATTCAGCGTCGTGTTCTCCATCTCCCGCAACATTCTAAAAACCGCCAGCATCGCCGGCAGCTCCGCCGCCGCTGGTTCGAACACTCCTCCGTCCCCGCACCGCCCCGTTTTCGGCACGGCGCCCACGGCGCTTTCGCCGGGACGGGGCGAGACGCCGGCTGTGTGAATGAGGCCTAATTGTCTTCGTCCATCGCTGGATTTTTTTCCGATATGCTACTCACTTTTCCTTCAGTGGTGCTTGACGTGCTTGCGGAAGCGCCGGCAGTATCCCTCGTTCGTGGTTTCGGTTTTTTTCGGATTTGGCTCGGCTACAACACCGGCAGTGAAGTGGTCTTCTCAAACAACTCGCTCCCCCGTCAAAGGCCACGTGAGAGCGTTTCTGAGCGGCCATTGGCGGCGCCCTCAGAGTGATTGACAGGACTCGGCAAAGTTTCAGCAAAAGCTCGCTCCAGAAGCGAGGTGTGCGCGCAACCTTTTTTTGATGCGCGCGTCCTCTTTGGACTCGTTCAGACGGCGCAACCATTTCGCGAAACTACGTTTCGCGACACTAGATGCGCGAGAAAAATGCATCGTGTGAACGCGCCTTAAGTAGTAAAATGCGAGGAGCTTTCCCGTAGTACTTATAATCAGTGTGCCTCCTCACAGCATGCACCGCTTTTGCTTCAAATCACAGCAGAGTGGCGCAGTGGAATTAAGTATTCCACTTCCGGCTTTCCAGCGTATCGGACGCGTAATCGATGAGCTCCCCCGAAGCGGTGATAACGGCCCCCGCAGGCCGCGGTGGCTCTGTTACTTCTGGATCTGAGGATTATCGGATGCTACCGCCTTCGCCGCCATCAGGTGAAGCGATGAAGTGTGCAGTCGTACTGCACGGCGACATCGCTTGTCGTCCGTACCGTATAGAAGATTTTCGCCAACCGC